ATATTGTCTGATTTATATAAAGGAGAAGAAGGAGAATTCCTTCGTATCAAACCGCGGGATGGTTTTCCCTGTACAACTCCCCCAGCTGGGTAAGCCGTTACTCTTTACCCAATTCTATCCATTCTGGCGCCCTTCATCACAATCATTTACCTTGATATTTCTAAGCAGGAACTGAGGAAGGCCGTGAAAGAGTTCAACAGCCCTCCTCTGCAGCCAGAGGATCCAGGCTGGGCCCTTGACCCCGGACTTGAAGAAGATCCGAATATATCTGTGGAGCTTGTCGACAGGACATTTTATCAGGCAAGCTGCAACGACACCTTGGTGGCTATTATCGCCGATTATCCCGGACTGCTCCCTGCGTCGCGTGTAAGCAAAGTTGAAGCTTTCATTTCTGGAGAGGATTCCTTTCTTATACCGTGCCTTATGCACAAATATCTTATTTTTATAGAGACGACCATCGGAATGCGGCGCCGAGCCCCTGGGGGCTCATTAGCAAAGGGCATCCAGGCCAGGCAGGCTCAAGAAGAAGGTGGTTAGGGTTGAAACACCGTCACAGAGGTATAGTTAAAATCTGCTCTGTGATTATCACGTTTGAAATGTAACAGCGTCCATTGTGTCCTGGCAGAAAGAGTAGTCGCCGAACTATATCCAGAGATCCTGCCGGTCACGCCTCCACCAGCCGGATTCCAGAACCGGCTTCAAGAGAGGAGGCCAATGCGGGGCCGATGCCGAATTGTCCTCCGACAGAGGATGTGGATAGGCTCTCCGCCACCAATTCGGAAGTAGAGAGCGCCATGAATCATCGGCGCCGACGGGCTGTGCTTCGTGATGGCATCTTTTCCGAAGAGGCATTCAATGCCTTCAATTCAGGAGATGCATACATCCGAGCTGCCCAAGATGGGCTCGCCCGAGCAATGGACCAGTATGCAAAAGATATACGGGTAAGAGAATTTGATAAGCATGTATAGCAGTAGCCCCTGAGACTTGAAACAGTTGGAACAACTGATTTAAGGATCATTGTATGCACAGGTTCTTGTAGAGAAGAATACCCATTTATCTCAAGAGCTAGAGGAGTGCAAGACCCAGGTGAGGGCCGTGGTTGCCAAACTAGAGGAATCCCAGAAGGCCTCATCTGGTAACATTTGTCTCAATAGAGAAATTTTAAGGAAATATACCAGTTAGTAGTTGGCTTGCTTTATAAGTCTAACAGAAAATTCTGCAGACAATCCTGGGGAGAATCCGGAGATCGTAAGAGATGGTGAGTCACATCTCCAAACACAGCTAAAGGCTAGCGAGCGTGTGCTTACGCAGGTTAGGTAGGAGAAAAACAATATCCAAGATGCCAACGTCCGGCTGGGCGTCGAATTAGCAGATGTTAGAGCTCAGCTTGCGGACTCCATGAAGGAGAACAGGAGGCTTCGTCGCGGCATTTATGGTAAGTGCCTAAACAAACTGCAGTATAGTTCGGCGAGGAAGCACATTTAAAAGAGTTTTATGTCTGTAGGTATGCTAACGGGCCGTCCTGAAGAGGAGATGCCCGGGTCCACAGGCGATTTGCTGAAAGATCTCTCACAACTGCACGGACGAGCTCGACAAGTGATGCAGGGTATTGCCCAGGCCTTGTGGCCATCCGCTCCCCTGCCAGGAGGCATGGAGGAGCTCGTGGATATGCTCAAAGGAGCACAGTGGCGCTTCCGGCTATGGAAGGTATCAGCCTGCCGACAAGGTGCGAGGGAAGCCTGGGCCATGGTGAAGACGCGATACGCCAAGATTGACCCGAACCATATGGCCGAAGTCGGACCGACGGGGCCAGATGGACAAGAGATTCCCGTAAGTCTGGTGTATGACCAAGTAGTGTTAGCCGCAAAGTATTCCCAACAGGATTGTAAGCTAGATAGCCTGTTGGATGGTATAGAGGAAGAATATAGCCAGTCCAAGTGACTATGTAATTCAATGGACATATGTAGTCCCTAGCCGGATTAAAAAATCATTTGCCATGGCGGACCTTTTTGCTTCAGCCCCCGGATCTGATAGTCCGGGGTGTAGCCGAATACCCGCTCAGTTATGTAAAACCGGGGTATGCGTGGGAACCAGGCGTAGGGGTCATAAGTGCTTGAACAGACAAGTACCCAACTAGTTATGCTATATTACATGGGTAGTAACAACATCTTCCACGGAGAATAGTTCCATTAGGGGTTCCTTTCCCTGGGTACGCATGCATCGATGTGCATGTCTGAACTGCGAACAGAAACGCAGGATACAAAACATCTAGGGATTCACGTTGTAATAAACGAAAGAAACATCTTTTGTTCATCGACCGAATATTATCTTAAGAACACTACTTTTGGCTTCAGCCAGTCTGAGGTATACATCCGGCTGAACCGGCAGTAACAATCACAGAGGTGCTCCCCTTATGCCCTAGCCGAATTAACGGGAATGTAGGGCATAAACACAACAGCCAGGCAACCCAGCATGGCCAAATCTTAAGTCATATTGATGCATATAATGGTGAAGAAAAGGCACATACGGAAAAAGGACGCATATGTGGTAGGCAGGAAGCCATAAAAGTAATTATATTTAGCTTCCGTATAGGAAGCCCCCAGGTATGGTGAGCACACATAGTGCGGCCGAAGTGATCCGAGCATCTGCAACTGAGTTCGGCACTAGGCGTAGAATCTCCGGAGTCTGGCCACGTTCCATGGGTTCGGCTCGAGTTTGTTATCGGATGCATTGCTGAAATTTTTATTAATAGTAATTAATAATCCAGTAATTAGGAAAGTAATAAAGTGTAAATGGAAATTTTAAATATAGTAAGGACGCGGACAACACTAGCGTCCCTCTATGGACGCACAGGCTAATGACGTCCACCCCTGGACGCTGTTTTGGATAGCATCCATTCACCATATGGTTGGGTCGAGCCTGCTCGTGGTTGCTGCATCCATCTCATGCCTGTCGCCCACCTTCATCTCCTCTCCTACCACGGCCGGCCCTAGCCTCCGGCAAATCCCCGCCGCCCACCTTGCTCGGACCGCCTCCGCCTCGCCCCCCAGTTCCTCACGACTGGCTCGGCCTCCACCTCGTCCCCCGCCTCCTCACGACCGCCCCTCCCTCCGGCTCATCCCCGACGCCCACATCCTCACAGCTGGCCCCGACCTCCTCTGGGCCAAAGGGGGTGGGCGGAGGACGCCGCTGTGGCGGCATCAGCAAGTTGGCCGGAGGTGTTCGTCCCTCTCCCTTATCTCCATTGCTCCTCTGTACGCCATCCCTATCATTGTTGGATCTTCCTGGGTGCTACACTGTAATTTGTTGTCATAGAAGGTACGCATTGTGCTATCCCCCAATTAAACAACAGTACTTGGGCCACGCATTCTACTAGCTCCTAATTAGTGATTATAGTGTCGATGCTTTCAAATTAAACTGTACAAGGAGCAGATGCTTTCAAATTACTTCTGACTAAGGATTTACTACTTGTCTCTTATTTTGTCTAATAGATTCATATGAAAGTAACATTTATGAAATAATATAAATTAGTTCCTTGTCTTTCATAAAAGGTATTGTGCATCGAACGAAAATATTATAAATATCAGAACTATTACGAAATAACATAGTACTTGAGCAGCTGAGCATAATTGATTCCTATGCTATTTTCTTGTAGCTTTACTGATTACACTGACTGTGTAGGCATAGCTGAAAACATTGGATTGTTTGAGTTTTATTTATCAGTGTAGTATTGTGAAGAATAAATTCAATTGATTGCTTTGATCTTTCACGTCAACATCTTACTCATTCCTTTTATGCCGCAACAGGGTCTTGAAATGGATACAAATGGATGTTTCAGTGATTTGCTATGGATGCCTCACAGCCAACACAAAATATCCAAAACTTGGGAAAATGTGAGTATCTTTTAAATTCTCATGTCATCTATTAGACTTAGCAATTAACTAAAGACTAATTGTTGTGTGTATTTGATGCAGCCTAACATTTGCTTGAATGTACTATGTCATCGTGTTGGCATCCCATTTGACCCCCTATATACATCAGCTTTAGAGAACCTTGGTTTTTATCGGATTGCTAAGATGAGGAAAATCAATGTCGACAAATATTTGATATCGGCATTGGTGGAGCGTTGGTGGCCCAAGACAAACAGTTTTCACCTACATGTAGGAGAAATGACTATTACGTTGCAAGATGTCAGTTGTTTGTGGGGGTTGCCTATCCATGGTAAACCACTTGTTGGAAAAGCTGATGCCCAGTGGTCAGAAATAGTTGAGAGGTTGCTTGGGATTCCTGTGGATGAACAACACATGAAACAAAAGAAAAGGCGAAAAGGTGATGATAATGCTGTTGTGAGGAATTCACAATACTCTCTAAATCTGGGAAAACTGCAGGAACACTTCCATGTGTTGCCGGATAATCCAATGGACAGGGAGATTAATTGGCATGCTCGAGCACTTGTTCTAGAAATTCTTGGCTCCATAGTCTTTACTGATACATCTGGAGATGGAGTGCTAGCTATGTATCTCCAATTTATGCAGGATTTAGGACAACCAATAGAGTATAATTGGGGAGCAGCTGCTCTTGCTCTATTGTATAGACAACTGAGCATAGGTGCTGAGAAGGAGAGACTAGAAATTTCAGGTCCTTTATTGTTGCTAGAGTTATGGTCTTGGTCCCGTTTGCCACTTGGTTGCCCTAAAGTTATTTTTGAGAAGCCCAAAGAAGGAGAGGAACTTGATGAAGAGGAAGAAGAACAATAAGTACACTTGGATTATAACCCTATTTTTGAGCAAAGTGGTGTGCTGCACATGCGTTTGATGTCCCTCATAATGCTGGTATTGTATTCTCCTCACCAAATTTGTGTTGGCATCATTTGTTTTATGACAAACAATTTTATTAACTTGCAAATGAAATATATAGGTACTGAATATTATCGAAATCAGATTGACTTGATTCAAGAAGGTGCAGTTGATTGGCAACCATATGATGATCTTCTGGAGCAGATGCCTTTTGAAGTTCATCAAGATTCTAATTGGTGGTTTGCTAGAGTACCACTCATGCATTTTTGGATTGTGGAGTTCCACTATCCACATAGGGTGATGCGACAATTTGGATTAAGACAACCCATTCCCCCTTCTCTTCCACGTGGTGAGGCAGAGGTTCAAAAACTTCGAAAAATTAAACATTCTGCAGGAAAATCGCATAATTGGGAGAAAGTCCACGCCAATTATGTTCAAGAATACAACCGTGTTGATGCAAGAGTGTGGCCAGACGATATTCCCTTCGATGAAGCTAGTTTACCTGATTACAGACATTGGTTCCAACAAAATGGTATGTACACAGTATTCTTCAATTCTCAATGCTTGGGGGGCTTAGATAAACCTATCCCATATCCTCGAGATAGCATCGAATGGACTGGCTACATGACTAGTGGTCCGCCACTGGCTCGAATTGTAAGTGTGCGTTACATTTTCATTGTATTATTTACAACATATAGTAATAAATGTGTCATGCAGTATTTGTTTTGTCACTTGCAGGGGTTACGTGAGATAAAGAATGCCGCATGGGGTATTAAATGTGCTATTACTAGTGGATGCAAGAAGATAGGGAAAACTATATTGAGGTCCTGTGTAGGAAATTTGTTGGATTTGAACTTGGAGCCTAGGCTGCAAAGCATGCTTACTGAGGCTAGGTTACCACTGAATATTGAAGATATTCCATCTGATGAAGAGGTTTCTGATATTGCTAAACCACCAAGCCCCCCAAAAGAGAGCAACTCTGATGTGTTCAATGAATGGATATACTCCGGCAAAGGTTTTACAACATACCTTAAGGCTGGTGAAGCGATGAGAGATGGGGAACCGACAACACAAGATGTAGTTCAAGTTACCCAATAAACCAACTCAAATAAGCTTGGTAGAGCTAGTAGGCTTGCATAAAGGAGTTCGTAGCGAATAGTTGGTTAGAATGGCCATCTCTAGAGCGACCTGGAGGTGTAGCTGACCAAATCATTTTGTATTTGGCCCAAAAAAACAGTTCAGGAATTTTGTTTCTGCTATGGCAGATATGGATTGTAATATTTCCCCAAAAAAATGTTTGTTACTCCTTATTTGATAAGTTCATCTCCAGTATAATTTTTTTACATATAAAGGAAAATGTGGTACCACAAATGCAAATCATCAATCATGTCCATCCTTGATTGTATTATGCCTTTCTAGTTACTCCACCTCTTCTCTCTGGATGATGTGCTCTTCCCCTGACATGTCCTCTTTCCATTGGATGATGTGCTATTTGGTTGACTCAGCCTCTTTCCTTTGGAAGATATGCTCTTCGCTTGACTCGGCCTCTCTCCTCTACTCGACGATGTGGTCTGTCCTCGACTCGATGGAATAGTCTGTCTCTGGCTAGACGATGTACCTACGGTGAATGCAACAAAGTAAAATTACATGAAAATAAGTTCACATATACACCAATACCACAAAACTAGTTTAGATACATGCGAGATTATTGTCTGTTGTTGAACGCCGGGCTTGGTGTCCCATTCGCCTTCCTTGCATTTCATCCATGTACATTGGAATTCTTTTGTGTTGACGCCGCCCAAGATTTATCAAATTCTCATCAGGAACAATAATCGGGCCACTATATGTTGGCCACTCATTTTGGTTCCCGTAAGGATAAAATTGTCCAGCCCATGTGTTTGCAAGTACTTCAGAAGAGTAATATGGATGAACTATTTGATTTTCATTTAGATTCCTATACTTGCAAACAGCAAGCAAATGCGCACATGGCACACCAGTTAGGTTTGGCTTTAGGCAGTCACAAGATGGAGTACTATTTGGTTGAAGGGTGACCTTGTACTTGAAGTCCTTATGAATAAAAAGAACATGATCCCCATTGCGTGATGTAACCCTCTCATTGTCAACCTTGACCTCAAATATTCCAACTTCATCACCATACGAAATAACATGCATATGTCCTGCCTTGTCACCCCTTTTCACCAATAGTTTATCCACCCGTTCGGACCATTGCTTGCCTTCGTCAACCAAGTTATGAGCACCTCGCCTTCTTTCTACAAACCACTCCACGCACTTTGAAAATGTCTCCTCCACAATTGCTCCCACTGGTAGCCTTCGAGAAAGCCTGAACACATTGTTTAAGGACTCGGACCCATTGCTTGTCATGATCCCCCAACGGTAACCCCCATCCTTGCATTGAAATACCTTCTCAGGCTTATCTTCCTCATTTGTATCTTCCTGCAAATACTTACCGACCTTTCTAAGATATGTTATTGCATCAGGACAAGTATGTTCAATAGATGACATGCCCTTCTCAAATCTACGAGGTTTCTTTTTCTTTACTGCCCACTTAAATGTTTTCAAAACATCATCATCACGAAAAGCTTTGTATAGATTCTCCGCGACATGTTGAGAGCAAAAACGATGCACACACTCACCAGCACTTTCGTTCCAACCAAGGTGCGGCTGCTTAAACACCCATTTGATTGCTTTGTGGAGATCTGAAATCACACACATGAATTTTCCAACACCAATTACCTCCCTTTGCAGCCATCTCATGAACAAGCCCCAGTTAGTTGCATCCTCTTTCTCCACAATGGCAAATGCAAGAGGTATTAACTTGTTGTTAGCATCATATCCGCAAGCCATTATCAATCTGCCCTTGTATCTTCCCGATAGAAATGATGCATCCACACTTATTACTGGTCGAAGGTGGGGAACTGCTGCAATGCAAGGTCCAAATGCCCAAGCAACACATCAAAATTCTCTATTCCCTTCTTGTGACATGGGTTTCGATAGAAGAACATACTTTGTACCTAGATTTTTAACTCTAATAGCCTCGAGGAATGGGATGAGAAGATTGTATGGTCCTTCCCAGCTACCAAACAGTTGTGCTATAGCCTTCTCCCTTCCACGCCACAACTTATTATGTGATGGTTTCACATTTCTATAACGTTGTCTCACCAATGCCCGCACATTTTTATACTCAACTCCAGGTCATCCTTTAGTGCTTCACGGATCACATCTGCCACTATAGAGGCCGATAACTGAGAATGGTCAGTTCTATTAGCCGGTGCACGACAAGTGTGAGAATAAGGACACTTCCTTATTTGCCAATACGAACCAATTTTTGTTGGTGTTGCATACAGCCTCCACATGCAGCTGTCATCAATACACTCTGCTACAAGTTTAGATTGACTACTTGTGCTGTACTTCACTTCCAAGTTTGCGTTTATGTGAAATTCACCAATCGCAATTTTGAGGTGCTCTTTTGAATCAAAAATCTGATGCTCTGACAATGGGCTCTGAAAGTGTTTCTTACATCCAAAAAAACCTTCATCTGATGTCGTCTCCGTTAGTATAGATATGTCACTAAAGGATCTCACACCATTATGTCCACATCTATACATGAACGGAAATGCATTAACATGATGTGCAACTCTTGGTTCTAAATCTTCATCTGAACTCTGGCTCGGTGCGGCATCAGAATCATGCTCATCGTCATCATCATGTCCCATCAAGTCCTCCTCTGGATCTGTATCCTCCTGGTCAAATGATTCATTAACAGTACTTGTTGGCAAATCATTTGTCATATTACCATGAGTGGAAGATGGAGCATTTTCCCTGTAAAAATCAGGACCACGTGTATTACTATTTGAGAAGGCACTAACAGATGTTTGATGAAATGGTGATTGTATTGCACTTCCATACCTTTGTGATTGCCTTTCAATTATTGGTATGCTGCTTCCACCGCTGACTTGGCTCAACATGTCTTGATTTGGCGTGAAATTAACATATAACTCTATCACTTGCCACGTTGTCCGGGACTTGGTCTTCTCAAAAATCATGTTCCACCTTCTTTCCTCATATAATGGAATTAAATTGAAAATAATGTGGTCCGGGAGATCCAATATCATAACGAGCTTGGATATTCAGGTTGTTTTGAGCACTGACATTAACATGCCCAAGCCCTCGACATGTCTCACTCTTGATGTCTTCAAAAGTGGTTTTCTCGCATGCTGGAAATGTTAATTTGGGAGGAACACTATACTCCACACCCATGGATCCATGTTGCACTTCACCATCTACGTAAACCAGAACGATTAACATGCTCTTATACTCACCTACAAACATGAACGTGTACAAAGTGAATAACCCAATTTTAAATTGATCTACTATAAACTGATGATTGAAAATTTGGCTTCTCATGGACTAGCCAATTAAGAACCATAACCCAGGAACAACAATCCAATAATGTATAAAGTATCCACTTGTAAATCATTGAATCAGTTGTATAGAGGATTCAAACAAGAAAGATGCAGTAGGATCGTAGAACAACTAACATGAATCAACAACAAGATCGATTGGAGGATCCTAATGGAGAGTGGGTGGTGGGACAATGCCGCCCCTCAGTGTTGTCAGCTGCGGGAGGGTGCTTACCGTACGTCGTGGTCAAGGATCAACGACTGCATGCGTACTAGGGTTTATAGCCCATGGAAGTTCCATAAGTCAGTACGAAACGACTCGGTTTAGTCCGATCTAAGGGGTAGGCCAACCTCTTAATTGGACGTCGCTTGCCATAGCGTCCAGGCCTGGACGCTGTCTACAATAGCATCTGGAGCTGGACGCTGTCCTCAATGGCGTCCTTCCTATTTTTCAAATTTTCGTCCACCCTTGACTAGTTTTAGAATTACTGGATTATTAATTACTATTAATAAAAAATTCGGGATGCATTGCGCAGGCGGTATGCTCCTCCGGTGAGAACTTTATCAATGATGAAGGGACCCTCCCACTTAGGTTTGAGCTTGTCCTTCTTCTTCTCCGGTAGGCATAGAACGAGTTTGCCAACGTTATAAGTTTTGGCCCGCACTCCTCTGCTTTGATACCTTCGAGCCTCCTGCTCGGCCTGGCAATGGGGAATCCCCAGCCGGGTATTGCTCTCCCATCCCCGTGCCCGTGAGACAATCTCAGCCCCATCCCCATCCCCATCCCCGCCCTTGGGGAAAGAAATTTTCCCATCCCCGTCCCCATCGGGCATATCATCCCCATGGGCATATCATCCCCATCCCCATGCCCACTCACACCCACAATTTGAACATAAAAACAGGAGTATTTCAACATAAAAATAACAAGATTTCAGCCCAAAAAACAACAACATTTCAACAAAAAAACAGCAGCATTTCATTGCAATAAACAGTAGCATTTCAGCTTAATAAACAGTAGCATTTCAGCTTAATAAACAACAACATTTGAACATAAAAACAATAGTATTTCAGCTCAATAATCAGTAGTGCTTTAGCATAATAAATATCCAGGTTTCATAGTAAATAGCATCAATTCAGCACATAATCAGTATCCAAATCTCAGTTTTCACACACCAACACATAGTAGTTCACAACCTTACGATAAGGGCATTACAACTAACAGGTTCACACACAAATTTAAGCAAATAAGTCTTTGGGACCAAAAGAATAGTAGAATGTCATCAATGGTTCAACATGGCAGCCTCCAAATCTCCATTCTTCATGAAGCATCAAGCGCAACTTTCCAGATCAGGTGGGGGCAGAACCTACATGAGAACATACAATGAGATCACACACATAATTTAAAACTTGGAAATTATGAACATTAGTTAGTAGCAATGAGGAAGTGCTTCACCTCTTGATTATCTTGGAGACAAGTCCAAAAACTTGGTGAGTTTGCATTGTTGCCATCTACGAGAAAACAAATTTGTACATATGAACATGTAAAGAAACATGGCAGCAAGATCAACATGAATATAAACAACATCACACACACCTTTATATTTGTTCCGTATCCAATCTTGTGAGCACATTAGAGTCTCTAACATTTCTGGAGTAAGACTACAACGATGGTCACATAGAACTCTACCGCTTGTACTGAATGCAGATTCTGAAGCAACGGTGCTGACTGGAATAGCAAAGATGTCACGGGCTAGCATCCGCAAAGTAGGATAGCGTGTTCCAGCCACTTTCCACCAATCTAACACATTAAATTTATCTTGTGAAACTGGAACTAGCTCATCTTCTAAGTAGCGGTCTAACTCAGATTTCATCCTAGAAGTTGTTGGCCTTTTCTGAGCAACACGCTCATTGAAGAGTGACATAAGAGCTGGGGCTTGCATAGAAGAAAAAGAGGAAGAAGGAGCTGATTCATCATCATCCTTCTCAAGACTGTATTCCTCTAACAATTTGCATAACTTGGCAACTAATTCTGCCACATACCCCTCACATTCTGCAGATGAAACATTGACACCATATAACATTGCAAAGCAAACAAGCAACATCTCATTTTTGTACCGAGGATCAAGAATTGTTGCCATGCCCATTAGACTTTGAATATCAGTCCAATATTTATTGAACTTCTCTGTCATGCTAGCAGACATGGCTTCTATCACAGCATTGCCACATGTTGACCATTGTCTCATGTTCATTTTGATCTCACAAATCTTGGGGAAATATATGTTGGCTGTCACATAATCAGTTCCAGAAAATAGTGCGGTGATGTCAAAGAACAACCGCAACCTCTCGACAACATGAGTGGCAAAATCCCACTCTTCCTCACTAGGGAGACTCTCATATTGTTTGTCAACCTTCTTTAATCTTGCAAAAACAGATCTATATGGCAGAGCCACACTAAGCATTGTGAAAGTTGAATTCCACCTAGTTTTGCAATCAAGTGTTAATCTTCTTGTAATTTTTACCTTTTGATATTTTGCAATTTCCTCAAACTTCTCTACTCTTTTTGGTGTAGCAGTCCAAAAGGCCACACTATCTCTAACCTTTTCTATGGCTGGTTTCATAGCATCTAAGCCATCTTTGACAATCAGATTCAAAATGTGTGCACAACAACGCATGTGAAGCAAAGTACCTTTCAGCATGAGCTTGGTTTTTCCTATCTTGGTCACCAACAACTTAACCGTCTTGTCATTGGTGGTGCAATTGTCAACCGTCACAGCTGATAGCTTCTCATCCAGATTCCAGGATATCAAAGTTTCATGAAGTTCTTCAGCTATAACTTCTCCGGTGTGAGGAGCTGGCACATAAATAAACCTACATATATTGACAAGAACATGAGCTTATATTGACAAGAACATGAGCTTATATTGACAAGAACATGCACTACATCACTATATACAGAACTACAACACTGTATACATAACTACAACAGTATATACTATTAAAACAGCAGCATATACCTCATGATAACACTCCTAAGCTTCCAAGAATCATCAATGAAATGGCCTGTGATTGCCATGTAACCCTTCTTTTGGTTGTCGGCCGTCCACATATCAGTAGTAATAGCCACTCTTGATTTATTTCCAGCCATATACTCAATAGCCTTCTTCCTTTCAGCTTTGTATGCATTCACAATATCCTTTCTATGAATGAATTACACACTAGTTATATCTTGAAGGTTGACAATATGGAAATGCATATGAAACAAGATAAGAGCACTAACATAAATATACCTAATAGTGTTTCTTGTCACCATTTTAAATAAGGGTTGAAGGGCACTAACAAATCTTCGAAAACCTGCATGATCGACTATAGATAAGGGATACTCATGCACCACAATCATGGATGCTAGCTCCTTTCTAGCAAGATCTTGATCAAATGTGTAATTCTCCACATTTACTTTTCCTTGGCTTGCAGAACCAAACCTCAAAGAAGATTGACTAAGGGTTTTACCCTTGGTCTTGATCTTTTTTAGAACACAAATACCTAAGTGGTAGTGAGGATGTTTGGTCCCATTCTTTGGTTCTCCTCCAAGCTCCTTATTGCAATAAACACACTTTGCCTTCCATTTTCCAGCAACCTTCACTCTCTTGAACTCAGCCCACACAGTTGAGGTAAGTTTTCTTTTGGAAGCAACTTCTACATTATCCTCCTCCTCTTCAGCCCCATCTTCTCCGGCCTCATCCCCTCCAGCCCCATCTTCTCCGGTCTCATCCCCTCCATCCCCATCTTCCTCTTCATCAGAAACAAAAATAGGATCTGCAAACTCATGATAATGAACGGACTCATCGAAGTCATCCTCTTCCTCTTCCATGTGGTCAATTTGAGGTACACTTCCTGTCCCAGAATATGCAACTACAGCTTGGTCACCACTTTCTGTTGGTGGTGTCGACATGCTGCCACTGGACAAGCTGCAATTGCCATGATCATGCATTAGGAAACAAACAAGTGATGAACTACACAACAATATATACTAACAAAAAAAGTGATGAACTAGACAACAATATATACTAACAAAAAAGTGATGAACTAACAACAATATATACTAGACAGCAATATATAATAACAAAAAATTGATGAACTAACAACAATATATACTAGACAGCAATATATACTAAGAAAAAAGTGATGAACTATATACTAACAACAATATATACTAACAAAATAGTGATGAACTATATACTAACAGAAAGTATACTAGACAAAAATGGACACTACATCTGCATATATTCCTAGACAAAACCCTAGGTGATGAACTAGTGCAAATGATTCTCACCCAATCTTCGTGCTCCTGTCGGTGATGGACGAGATTGGACTCGGTGGAGACTTGCCGGTGATGAATGAGGATGGACTTGGTGGAGTCTTGCCGCTGCTGGTGATAGACGGGAACGGGATAGTGCTCGATGGAGGCTTCGGTTTGGGGGGGCGTCCTCCTCCTCTCCCACTCCCACGAGCAGCTCGTCCGCCACCCCGCACTGCTCCGGCCGTGGGAGGAGACAGACGGACAGGAGCTCGTGTGGGCGCCGTTTTGCGCCGCTGGGGGTGGAACAGGGAGAAGATGGAGGGGCCGCCGATCGCAGCAGCGATGCAGGTTCCTGGTCTCCTGGATGGAGGCTAAGGCAGTGCAGGGCGGCGAGCCGGCGGCGGAGCTTGCAGCGAGCAGGGCGGTGTCGGGCTGGATCTAGATCGGGGAGTTTTGGGCGTGGCTGCGTGGGTGAGGGAGGGGGAACAGGGGGTGGCGGCTAGGTTAGCGTGCGTGTGTGTGGAGTGGCGCTGAGAGGGGGTGTGGGGTGCGGTTAGGTTAGGAATTGGTGGGCTTTTTGGCCCATATTCTGGCACTTGGGCGGGAGGTCGAAGTTTCGGGATATTAGTGGCGGGAATATTATGGGTAAGCCGTGTATCGGGTATGGGTAATGCCATGCCGTCCCCATCCCCATTTACCCATTGGGTAAGGTAGTTCACCCAATAGCTTCCCCATGGGTATTACAATTGGCATATACCCGTGCCCTAATAGATTAATTACCCATGGGGACACGGGTAACGGTTAACCACTGCCGGCGTGACCTCCTGCTGATAGAATGCGAAACGGGCTTTGGCGAGGTCGCGCTCCTCTTCCAGGGCATCTAAGTTGTCCTGCCGATCTAACTCGGCTTCCTTCTCTTCTTACATGCGCACGCGAGGTGAGTCATGGATTATGTTGCAGGGTAGTACTGCTTCTGCGCCGTACACCATAAAAATGGTGTATATCCGGTGGTGCGATTCGGCGTGGTCCGCAGCCCCCAGAGTACGGAGTCGAGCTCCTCGACCCAGTGCGTGTCTGATTCTTTCAAGGATCGCACTAGTCTGGGTTTGGTGCTGCTCATGATGAGACCATTTGCACGTTCGACCTGGCAGTTTTGTTTGGGGATGATAGACAAAGGCATAATCGAGCTTAATGCCCATGTTGCCGCACCAAGTTTTCACTTCATTGGCTATGAAGTTTGAGCCATTGTCAATGATGATGCTGTGGGGGACACCGTAACAGTGTACAACCCCTGATATGAAGTCTATCACTGGTCCAGATTCGGCCGTTTTAACTGGTTTGGCTTCTATCCACTTGGTGAACTTGTCCACCATGACCAATAAGTATTTTTTCTTATGACTTCCCCCTTTAAGAGGTACGACCATATCCAGCCCCTAGACCGCGAAGGGCCAAGTTATGGGGATTGTTTGGAGAGCGGTAGGGGGCATGTGGCTCTGATTGGCGAAGAGCTGGCAACCTACACAATGTTGGACAAGGTCCTATGCATCTGCTCGGGCTGTCGGCCAATAACAACCTGTACAAAAGGCTTTGCTGACAAGTGCCCGAGCCGCAGCGTGATGCCCGCCGAGTCCGGCATGGATTTCAGGCAAGAGCTGCCGCCCTTCCTCTTAAGAGATGCATCTTTGGAGCACACCGGTGGCACTTTTCTTATAGAGCTCTCCCTCATGGACTTTGTAGGCCTTGGAACGCCGCACAAAACAATGTGCTTCGTTTTGGTCCTCGGGGAGCTCCTGCCTATTTAGGTAGGCCAAGAAGGGCTCGGTCCATGGGGCGATTACGACCATGATTTCATGGGCCGAAGGTGTTATTTCGGTGGTGGAGCCCCCGATTACGTCAGATGGTTCGGAATCTGGGGTTGTATTCGGAGCCGGACTGGTGTTGCTGGATTCCCCTTCCCATACCATGGATGGCTTGAACAGCCTTTCTAGGAATATATTAGGTGGGACGGATCGTGTTTAGCACCGATGCGGGTGAGGATGTCCGCCGCTTGATTGTTTTCTCGGGCCACATGGTGGAATTCGAACCCCTCGAACCGAGCTGACATTTTGAGGACGGCATTACGGTAGGCCGCCATTTTCAGATCCTTGGCATCAAAATATCCATTTATTTGTGATATTGTGAGGTTTGAGTCCCCGCGCACTTCTAGGCGTTGAATGCCCATAGAGACTGCCATCCGAAGACCATGCAACAAAGCCTCATATTCAGCTGCGTTGTTGGAGTCTGTGCATAATATTTGGAGTACGTATTCGACCGTGTCTCCTGTGGGGGATGTCAGGACTACACCCGCTCCCAATCCGGCCAGCATTTTAGAGCCATCGAAGTGCATGATCCAATTGGAGTATGCGCCGTACTCTTTAGGGAGTTCGGCTTCTGTCCATTCGGCGCCAAAGTCAGCCAATACTTGCGACTTAATGGCCCGCCGTGGTTTGTATGTTATGTCGAACGGAAGGAGCTCGATAGCCCATTTAGCAATCCGTCCCGTGGCGTCGCGGTTGTTTATTATGTCGTTGAGTGGTACTTCGGAGGCCATCGTAATCGAACATTCTTGAAAGTAGTGTCGTAGCTTCCGGGATGCCATGAAGACCGCGTATGCTATCTTTTGATAGTGTGGGTATCGGGATTTGCATGGGGTGAGGACAGTGGACACGTAATATAGCGACTTTTGGAGCGGAAACTTGTATCCGTATGCTTCTCGTTCGACGACGAGCACTGCGCTTACAACTTGATGTGTTGCAGCTATGTACAATAGCATAGGTTCGCCAGTATTTGGCGCGGTCAGGACTGGATTGCTGGCCAATAGGGTCTTTATTTCATCCAGTCCAGCCGCAGCCGAGTCCGTCCACACGAAGTGTTCGGTGCGTCGAAGAAGGCGGTAAAGAGGTAGTGCCTTTTCTCCTAATCGGGAGATAAAGCGTCTTAAGGCAGCCACGCATCTAGTTAGTTTCTGGATATGCTTGAGGTCTGTTGGGATAGCCAACTACGACAGAGCTCAGATTTTTTCCGGATTTGCTTCGATTCCTCTATTGGAAACGCTGAAGCCGAGCAGCTTCCCGGAGGGTACGCCGAAAACACATTTTTCCGAGTTGAGCTTGATGTCATATGTTCGGAGGTTGTCGAACGTGAGTCTCAAGTCATCTATTAAAGTTTCGACGTATCTTGTTTTTGTGACCACGTCATCCACGTATGCCTCCACTATTTTGCCGATTTGCTTCTCCACGCATGTCTGAATCATACGTTGATAGGTTGCGCCGGCATTTTTGAACCCAAAAGGCATAGTGTTGAAATAGAAGGGGCCATATGGCGATATGAAGGCCGTTGCGGCTTGGTCAGATTCCGCCATCTTTATTTGATGGTATCCGGAGTATGCGTCAAGGAAACATAGTGAGTTGTGTCCTGCGATGGCGTCGATGATTTGGTCAATGCGAGGGAGGGGGAAGTGATCCTTGGGGCAGGCTTTGTTGAGGTCTTTGAAATCGACACATAGGCGCCAGGATTTATCCTTCTTTGGTACCATCACCAGATTTGCCAGCCAATCCGGATGTTTTATATCTCTGATGAATCCGGCCTCAAGTAGCTTGGCTAGCTCTTCTCCCATGGCTTGCCGTTTAGGCTCTGATAAGCGCCTAAGAGTCTGTTTGACTGGCTTGTATCCTTTCAGTATATTGAGGTTGTTTTCGGCCAGCCTGCATGGGATGCCCGGCATGTCTGAAGGATGCCAGGCGAAAATGTCCCAATTCTCGCGTAGGAAGTCTCGTAGTGCAGCATCCATTGTGGGGTTCAACTGTGTCTCGATGGAAGCTGTCTTTGTGGGGTCCGTTGGATGGACCTGGAATTTGACTATCTCGTCCGCGGGCTTGAATGAGGTGGACTTGGGTCTCACGTCGTCCCTGTCCACTATGGCGCGCAGCGTTGTTAGTTCTTCGGCCGCTAGGGCTTCGGATAATGCTTCCAGGGCTAGTGCGGCAGTTTTATTTTTGGCGCGGAGTGCGATGTCCGGATCACTGGCTAGAGTGATGATTCCATTGGGTCCGGGCATTTTAAGCTTCAAGTACCCGTAATGAGGTATAGCTTGAAAGCTCGTGAATGCGTCCCGCCCTAAAAGGGCGTGGTATCCGCTGCTGAATGGGGCCACTTGGAATGTGATTTCTTCGGACCTATAATTCTCCGGGGTGCCGAATACGACATCGAGTGTGATTTTTCCCGCACACCGTGCATCCCGACTGGGGATGATTCCCTTGAAGGTCGTGCCGCTTTGCTCAATGCGGCTTTTATCAATTTCCATCTTATTGAGCGTTTCTTCATAGATCAGGTTTAATCCGCTTCCGCCGTCCATGAGTACTTTAGTGAGCCGAAAGCCGTCCACGATTGGGCTAAGGACCAAAGCGGCTGGTGCCCGGACTGTCTGGAATTGAAGTTCGTCACTGGCACTGAAGGTTATAGCAGTGTCGCTCCACGGATTTATTTTTTCCACATGGCAGATTTTAGCGAAATTTCGATGAGCTTGCTTGCGC